TGTTGTGGACAGTGTACACAAGTGCTGGTGTTCTGCGTCCTTATTCTCTCGGGGTGCTTCGCCTCTCTCGCTCCTCTCGTCTCTCCAGTCCGTGTGCCATAGATGCTGGGGGGTGTTCTGGATTGCCGCTATGGGGAGGACGCTGGGTTTTCCCCTGCATATGGGTGTGGGGCCGCCTCCTTTGCCTCTACCCTACTATTCTCCTGCAAGTGCAGCTCTGGCCTTCTTCCTCTGGCGGTGCTCCCGGACTCCTCTCGGCTATGTGGTGTCATGACACATTCGTACCTACATTCTGCAGGTGAGTTTATGCGGTCTGGCATCTGTCGGCCAGGCGCTGGTTCGTGGCTACGAATTTACGAACATAAGACCAAGGTGACTGCAGAGGGCCTATTGGCCCATACGAGGCTGGTACTATTTATACCCATCCGGTCCCACTCATATACATGTTCATCATATGCTTGAGTCACTCAAGGGGCCCCACCTTCACCATGTTACGAGGTAAAATGGTGAAGGTGAATGTTATGGGGTAAATGTTACACTGGGTCAGGGTGTTATGTGGTGACATTTTGCTGTGGCTTGATACTGGAGTTCCGTGTTGGGGTTTGGTTGTGGCTTTTTGTTTAGCCCTGACGTGCTTCTTCCTGGGGCCTTCCTTGTTCGTTTGTGGTGTTTGTTACACAGTGGGTCATGGCTCGGTTCCGTCCTATCGGTGGGTACTTTTCTCGGGTGTGACTGTGTCTTTCTGAGCCTTCGTTTGCCTCTGTCATGGTCACGGCCATGTTTTTCGTGGTCTTATCTGGGTCGCTCTTTCCTTGCCCATCTTGCAGTGCCTGGCTTAGCCCTTCCATATACATTGGATTCTCTGTGCTCACCTAATTGTCCTTACCTAGCTATGCTTGCAGGGGTTGAGCTTAGGCTCTTTGGTCCCGCTTCTCAGCTGTCATTTGCCTGACATAGACATGGCCTGTGTTGTTGGTCCTGTCCCTTTCATTCCCGTTGCTGCCTGTCTTTCTCGTTCCTCATCTTCCTTCTACGCTCGTAACTCTCACTGCTGGTGCTGGGGCTGTTTTTCTAGTCCTTATGGCTTGTTCTCCTGTATCCACTTCAGGTCGATTGATCTGCTGGGTAATATGTGAGGGGTGGTTGGATTGTTTTGCGTGTCAGTTACTCATCAGGGCTTGACATCTGCGAGAAGCCCTGTACAAGTTAGTTTACGCTTGTTTGTATTGTGCTAACTAAGTGTCAAGGGATGTACTAGTTCTGATGTTACCTCGCCCCTCTCGTTACACCTTGTTGTGTGGTTTTGTATGTGCTTCTTGACACCTACTGCTGCCTTGCAGTCACCTTGCGGTGTTTCCGGGGCTTAGCGTCCCCAGGGCCCGGTCGTCATCCGGGCCTCCTCATTGCTGGGCTGGTCGCCCAGGCTGTTTGATGCTTCTGCATGCAGCCTGACGTGTTTCTTACAGCCTGGTTGTTCAGGTATCCTTTGGAGGTGTTGATCCAGTTCTCTCGTGGTCACTGTGAGGGGACAGCCTGTTTTGCCCCTTATGTGTCGTGGAGGCGTGTTGAACAGTCTCGGGCCTTTGATGTTGCTGGGGTTCTCTCTGAGTAGGGGCTAGGTTGGACTTTGTCCATGTTCCGTTCCCTACTTTTCCACCACCCCTGTGTTTGGTTAATTCCTGGCTTGCCAGGTTTGGGTTCCTGTTTTCCTGGCTTACCCTGCCACTTGGCATTTTCCGGATCTTGCGGTGTCACTTCTCACGAGGGTCGCATCGGGACCACAGTGTCTCCGATTTCCTGGCGAGCTCGCTGGCATTGGGAAGTTTTCTGTACGGCAGACGTTCCTTCTCATTCCATGCCGGCCCGGGGTTCCGGCTCTGCTTGCTCGGTGGTCACATCCGAGGTTTTCCTGCGGTTCTGCCTCTTCCTATACTCGATCGGTCCATGTTGAGGCTGGTTCGGTTCTGCCTCGAGTATCTCACCATCTGTTGGTGGTCAGGTGGCTTCGTTGATGATGTCCCACCTGCGTGCTTCATCTTGGCGGTGGTGTGGGGTTTTCTTTGGTGGTCTTTCCTTTTTCTTTCTGTCCCTTCGTCGGTTTGCTATGTTTTCTTGGTGTGGTCTGGTCCTTCTCTTGTGGAGGTTTGGGGCCGTCATCTTGCCACATACTGTCGCCTTGTCTCGTGCGGCGCTGGCACGGCACCTCTTCGCAAGCCATCTCTGGCGTGGTTCACCTCCAGCCTTCTCTTTGGTTTTCGATGTTTTCGGCTTCCTGCATCCCGCCTCATGAGGTGCAGGAGGCCTTTACGGCTTACCTCCTGCGAGATCCGGATTATGCTTCGATAATAGATCCGTCTTCCTTTCTTTTGAGTTTGGCTCCTCTTTTCCTTACTGGGGTGCATTATGAGGTGCTGGAGTTTTCCTGGCTGGCAGACTTCCCTTTCTTGTCGTTGGGGGCATTGCATGCATTCTGTTGAACCCGCATGCTTGAGTGGTGGGAGTTGACCATGGTCATTCAGGTTTACCTGGGGGGCAAGATTGAGCACCTCAATGCGTGCTTGTTTGCTCCCGTGCTTCCTCGTGATATCGGTCAGGTGCAGCTTCACGTGCAGGTTCCCTCCCTTTCGGCGTCCCTGGTGGCTGAGGATTTGTACGTCCGTGAGCATTTGGCTTCGGTCTTGCGCTTCTTTTCCCTTCTGGCTGTCTTCGGACTTGCTCGAGGAGGATGTGGAGGAGCTAGGGTCCGGGCCTGCGTCTGGTGCGCTTTCCTCGGCGGCTCGTGCATCGGCTGCCTTGTCGAACTTGTCTGCACCGATTCTGAAAGAAGCAGTGTCTCTGTTCTTTGCTTCACGCCTCACGTGCTGGCAGGCAGTGGCACTATTCCACTATTCCACCATTCCACTATTTGGAATTCGCTTTGGCCCTGACTCTTAGATTTTCGTCTTCTTGTGGTGAGTCTCTGATGGTGCATTTTCTGCAGGCAGCTTCGTCAAGTTGCCGGCCTATGTTGGACTTGTTGTGTCCCCGGGGGGATGGGGGGGCTGTGGAGGTCCTACCTGGAAAGGTCATGCCAGGGCTCGGGGTTCCTTCAGTCGTCGTAAGTCAGTTATGCCATATTGTGGCATCTGGTCAACACAGTCATTGCTCTTGGCATCGGTTAGGCTCTCGTAAGGGTCGTCTGCCATTTTGCGGTTTGCCCCGTTGACGGGGCGATGGGGAAGGGTGGCTCGCGCTGTTTGCTCTCGCCTGGTTCAATGATTTGGGGGCATTTTGGGTCGTTTCCTCTGGCTTGCGGTGGCGTTGGGTGGCTCCTCCTCCTTCGGGTGGTTCAGTGCTGGTGGGGCAGGCCTCTATTCCTGCCCTCTGTCCGGTCATCCTGGAGTAGGTTCGCTTGGTAGTGGTCGAAACAGCGGCGTCCCTCAGGTGGATTTCCCGTCTGTTTCAAGTTCCAAAATGGGACGTGCGGATCTGCGGTTCATTCTGGACTTGTTCAGTCTGAACCCCTGGGTCTTTTGCCCCTCCTTTTGAATGACCACTCTGTCCCAGGTCCAGCTGCTTTTGGAGCCAGTTGCTTGGATGGTGTTCTTGGACCTCTGAGAGCGCCTATTGCGGCTGTTTGTCTCTTCCTCACAGTGAGACCTGCAGTGCTGCTGCCTCCCTGGTATGTCCCCGTTTTTCCTTCTCTTTGGGTAGTTACCTTCAGGGAGCCAACGGGGCTCCCCACAGAAAACCAGCATTGAATGTAATGAAATGCCAATTTCTTTGTGAATCCTCATCATTCAAGGGGTCAGCTTTCATCATTCAAGACTGAATTGGTGAGTTGCTGGCTCCCCTTCCCCTGCACAAGGGGGTTGGGGTGGCACCAACAAGTGGGGCTTGTTTGATGAAGTGTTGCTTGTTTGCTATAATTCTGGGGAAGTTCGTTTGCTCTTTTGAAGATGTAGATCACAATTTTCTACCAGACAGTGGTCCGTTTTGGTTCACCTGCCTTTCTGGGTAGACGATGGCACCCTTGTTGATGGCAGGTATGACATATTTTATGTTTAAAGTGTTCATAGGCCACTGCTCCCTGTGCCTTTCTGAGGGGGGGGGGGGGGCAGGTTCTGGCTCTGGTCCCCGGTAGGCAACAAGAACTCTGTGACTGATGACCCCAAATAGGATAGCACTATATTAGTGGGATAGTTTCACGGAGCCTCCAGGGCTCACACAGAAACTTTTATTTTATTAATTTAATGCTGGTTTTATGTGATGGGAAGTATGTAGGCCATGATTTATTATCTGTGAATCCGCTATCCATCACGTTCAATATCTGTTACGGCCAAGGCATGGAAAATGTGCTTGATAGATTTAAAGAAGGGCCTAATATCCATTGGTTAGTTCTCGTATTTCATCTTAATTCAAGATACAGAAATGGATAATGCATCAGAAATTATTAAACAATATAAAATACTAAAAGCTGTAAAATCAGTTATTTGATTTATTTCATTAAATTTCAGCTAAAAAACACATTAGCCATGATTTAGTCAAGCTTATAGGACCCATGGAACCCATCGTCATTGACCTGATGTTAGGAAGTACTCTAGCAGACTTTATGCCATCATCTTTATTTATTCAAATATATTATGGTTTTCCATGTGACTTGAACCTGTCAAGCTGGAACAAGACTTTTCAATACTGACAGATACTCTTAATATTCACCTAATTTGATTAGCATGGGATTATATTTTGTATCAATAATGTAACTTTCATTTACCTGACTAATCCTGTTTGACTATTTAGCCCGTGTACAAATGCAGAGTGTGTATAACAAAAGGTGAAGATTGAGCACGTAATGTGGTCCCACTTGTAACCAGCCGTAGGGTTGAAGCATCGTGCACACCATCCTTATGTAGTAAACTTGTTTGTCAAAGTTCTTATTGAATTGTTTTCATTCACATTATTATTTTAGAGACCAATTTAGGCTCACTAATATGCCAAGTATCTCTTGTTACCATTTTCAGGTTATAGAAGAAGACATGGACAAAGGAATTTTGAACAAAGATATGAAAAAGATAAAAGAGAAGTTAGAGAAGTCAGCTAGTGCTGAAGATGGAAGTAAGTTAGGTGATAAAAGTCATAAGTATGAGGAAAAGATTGATGAAAAGCAAGAAGATAAAGTAGAGGATTGTGTTAAGCACTTTGAAGAATCTACATCATTCAAGTGCGATGATAAGGAGCTCAAGATTGAGAACCTCAGCCCGTGTGAACCTATAAGAGAAGATGATTGCAAGAAGCCAGAATATGATTTCAAAAAATCCGTTGAGGAGAAACAAGATGATATGACGGAGGATACACCAAGCTGTAAGGAGAAACAAGAGAATGATGACGACGACGACGATGACGATGACGACGATGATGATGACGATGATGAATTGGATAGGAAAGACAAATCATCTGAAGATGAATCTTCTATTAAATTGCAAAAAAATGAGGACACTGAACCAGATCTTGATCTGGAAAAAAAGTTTAGTAAAAGTGATAAGAAAGAGCAAGAGGAAGAAGACCCGAGTGATAATCAAGACAGCAAGTACGTCTATCATTATTGAGCCTAGTTATAGTATGTTTAAATATGCTTGCATTATTCCTGTGCATGCACACAGTGCTTGCACAGGCCACCAATTGCACATATTTGTGGGGAAATGGTATATTATTTGAACATTATTTTTTCTTTGTGGTTTTTATTTAAGTCCTTATTGTATTAAAATTCATATATTATGCCTTGAGCTTCAGTTTACATTCAAATCTAATGTTGTCAGAGATTGGGTGAGTGAGGAGGAGGGAAGCTTTGCTGGCAGCAGGAAACGGATAATCTCAGGGGGAGATTTCATGGGCTCATCTTCTCCATTTGTTTCTGAATCTGCCCCCAATTCACCCGCATCTACTCACTTCGGGTATGTCATTGCCAGTTTTCTTTAGAAATAGAGGGTAAGAATACAATTGACAAGTATACTTAAAAATGTCTTTATATATCTTGCAAATTATTTAAGCTTTAATCTTAGTCAGTACTTAAGAGATTTTGATTTTTGCTATGGACTTTTCTGAGGGAAGCCCCTTGTGGGTCCATCAGTAGATGGCACCCACATTTCCCATGTGGGTGCCATCTACTGTGTGCCACCAATCATAGAGCTTTCTGGCCTACCAAAAACCCAGAGCCAGAACCTGGTTCCTTCAGTGATTCAGTGATGTGCAGGGAGCTGTGGCGTTTATACTTCAATTTATGCCGCCACCGAGGAAGATACCCAGAAAGTCAGCGAGTCTGAATGAACCACAGCTGATTGCTTCCGAGACTGCAAGCTCGAAAGTGGCCATAAAACTCCCTAAACTATGTAAAGAAACAATCAAAATTTTTATAAAACTAGTGTCCACTCATTTGCCCCACCCTTCCCCTTGTTTAAGGGAATGAAGGGGGGGGGGGAGTCCACTGCTCACTGGCTGTTCCATTGTCAGTTCTCCTCTGATGTGTGCCAAGTTTGCTACTGTTGTGGAGAACGTGGGTCCTCATGCAGGGGTTTTGGCTTGGCCTGTGGTGTCGCCAGCGGCTCTTTCTTCTATTGGCTCCTTTTCTGTGAGGTGTGGTGGCCTCGTTCTTCTCTGTGCAGCTCGCATGCCTGGATCCTGTGCTGGCTGTTTCTTTAGACTTGGAGAGGGTCCTCACTATTCTTTACGCTCCTTCTTTTTTCTCCGCTCTCTTCTCCGAGGATGTTGTGGCTTGGTTTTTGTCCTCCGCTGCTACGTCTTGTCGGCCTGTTTAGGACCTTCTTTGTATGTGGCGGGGCTGCTCTCATTCTTCAAGGTGGTCTAGGCGGGAGGGGCTGTGCCTTGTGTTGGTCGAGATGGACAATCAGTGGATCAAGTGACCGGATTGCAAGTGCTTCCTGGGGCTGCTTCATCTGCATATCATCGGCACTGTGCTCGCTCTGCCTACATGGCGACATCTCAGGATTCGCTCTGACCCTTTTGCGGTTTGCCCCATTGATGGAGTGGTGGGGGGGGGTAGCTAGTCCAGTTTGCCATTGCTTGGTCCCACGATTTGTGGGCTTTTTAGTCATTTCTGTCAGCCTTCGGTGGTATTGGTCAGACCTGCCTCTTTTTTGGGGGTTTGGGTGTGTCTAGGCAGGCTTTCTCTGCACATCTCTGCTCTGCTCTGCACTTCTCTGCTCACAAGATTGGCCAAGGTGCTTGGATAATTTTCCTGGACCTCCAGTATGCCTATTGGCACATCTCTATTCATCCAAGGTTCAGGGATTGGTTAAGGTTTCTAGTGGAGTGTTGCGCTTTTCTCTTTCGGGTCTCCCCATTTGGCCTAAATCTGGCTTCGCATGCTATGCAGCTCTTTTGGGCTCGGGGTTTGGCTCTCCTTGCTGTTCATGTCCAGGGAGTGTCCAATGTCCTTGTTGGTGGTCTGTCCTGGTTGCTTCCCATCTCCATGGAGTAACCTGCTCACACTGCCTTCTTCCTCTGGCTCTGCTAGACATTTGGCTAGACGTCAGGACGCCCTGACGTGGACCTCTTTGTATCGGCTTGGTCTCAGCATCTTCCTCTTTATATGGTGCTGTTCCCAACTGTGAGGCCCTCATGGCAGAACTGATAGAATTGGAGGTTTCTGTATCTCTTTTTCCCCGGTTCATCTGTTGCTCCAGGTCCTGGTATGGTTGGAGTCCTACCAAGAGAAAGTGATTCTTCTGGCTCCTTAGTGGCTGGCCCAGCCTTGGTCTCCAATACTGCTTGCTCGGTGTCTGAACCTGGTCATTTTTCCGCAGTTCCACCTCTTCCAGAGGGTCAGTCTGGAGACGTACTTCACTGTATAGAACTTCTCGTACTAACATTATGTCTCGAGTTTCTGAAGTGGATGTATCGTCATCTTTATGGCATTCAGATGGCATTCACCATATCTTGATAATGTCCTACCTGTGGGTTTCCTCGAGGCAGCAGTATGAGGTTTCTTGGTGGTCGTTTTATCTCATCTTGTCTCTTAGACATTGTCTGTTCCTGAGCGGATGGGTCTTTCCTTTCTATCCTGGACGTACGGGCCTCTGGAATTGGATCTCTTTGCATCAGCGTGGTCGAGGTGTTACCCGGTATACGTGGCGCCCTTCTCCGAAGTCTTTGCATCTGGTCTTTCTGACTCGAGTCTATCACCATTTGTATGGGGCACAGATGGCTTCGTTGTTGGTCTCCCATCTGCGTGCTTCATCTCGGCGGCAGTATGAGGTTTCCTGGTGGTCCTTCCGGTTTTTCCTATCACTGCATAGGTGTACTTTGGTACCTGATAGGGTTTTGTCCTTCCTGTCACAATTGTTTCAGGACCGTCATCTTATGCCAAATACTGTCTCCTCCTATCGTGCGGCACTAGCGTAGCCACTCCAGCTTACGTTCGGTATTGATATTACGTCTGCTCCATTCCGCAAATTGTCTCGTATGTTATTTCACCTCTGGCCTGCTCATGCATTGCCTGATCCCTCCTGGTCCTTGGACTGAGTGCTCTTTCCTCTCTTCTCCTCGGTTTGTTGTGGCCATCAAACTGGTGATAGGTTTGGTTGCAGCCATCTCCTTTTCTGGCGAAGAATGAGACTGCTGCTTTCCGAAGGGAGTCCTTGGGTTGTTGATGCTTGGTTAGTCAGGCCGGGGGTCCATCATGTCTTGTGTCCGATTGCGGCTTTCCCCCATTATTTGCGCGCCACGGCTTCAGTGGCCGGGGATGCGCTGTGGGTTGATCCGGTTTTCCGTCTTTCCTGTTCCCGGGCTTGTGTCTCCCAGGTCGTCTGCAGGGTTATTAAAGCTAGCCATCCTGTGGTCTACTTTTGTTTCCACAACGTGCATAAGTTTGCTACATTGGCTGCTGTCTTTGGCAACATGTCTTGGGTTGACATTCGGGCAAAGGGTATTTGGAGGTTGAACAGGGTCCTGGCCGCTCGTCACCTTGTCAATGTCCCTGGACCTTGTAGCGCCTATGTTGCATTATGTCGGCGGTTGCAGCCAGTTGTCTCCACTTCGCATTGAAGAGTTAGGACTGACCGCCGCCCGGGTAAATCCCTGTTTTCCTTGTCTTTGGGTAGTTGGCTCTGTGGATCCGACGAGGCTCCCCCGAGAAAACCAGAGTTGATTGTAATGAAACGCCATTTTCTGGGTGAGTCCCGGAGGCTCCCCGTCATCCCTCCCTCTGGTCTGCAGTGTTTTCGCGTATTTTGACATCCTGCCTAAGAACTGCAGGGATGGATCGCCGGCGTGGGGGTCTGGGGCTTCCCCCTTTCCCCTCTCAAGGAGGGGGTGTGGGGTTGGGCAGACAGCGGCACTGCGACATGATGACGTCATTCTTATTTTATAATTTTCGTGCAGGGAGTTCTGTCCACTCGTTCAGTTTTCGGTAGCGATAGTTTCACCAAAATAGGGATTTGTTTTGGGGCGCTTCCCTTTCTGGGTGCCAGATCTGGTCGATGGCAGACATAGAAAGCTCCCAACCACATGGGGGGTTTCTATATGCCACTGCTCCTCGTGCCTCTCTTGAGGGGGGGGGGGGCCAGGTTCTGGCTCATGGTTCCCGGTAGGCAAGCACTCTGTGCAAATTGACTTAGGTCAGAAAGTTATGCATATCCATTCAGCCTGGATAGCTCCGGGGAGTTTCTGGGACTCGCCCAGAAAATGGCATTTTGTTACATTCAACGCTTTTTTTTTTTTTTTCTAATGCATTCTACTTGTTTATCACCCATATTATATACAGGTACTTCGTTAAATTTCCTTTGACTACTTTGTATTTCAAACTTTCAGCAGTGTCCTTTTCTCTAATTTTCTCTCAGTTTATTGAAGCTGTTCATGTTCACTTTGTGTATTCCACTCACCATTTTATTCCATTGTGTATTCCATCACTCACATAGTGACCATATAACCCCTTGACCTTTTCTCCTACTTTTCCTTGACTCATACATGAGTGTTGTTTAGACAGCCTCTACTTCTTACAGGTGTTGTGAGGAGTTTCTGGAGGTGTGGATACCATACCAGTGCTCTACATTCTTGCACCGCTCTCTTAAAATTACTGTTTGGTTTTCAGTGATGAGTCGGAGAATGAACGTGCTTATAGGTCGTGGAAGAAACCCATTATGATTTTATGGAATGAAATAGCTGCACACAAGTTTGCTTCTATATTTCTGAGACCCATCACTGATGACCAAGCCCCTGGGTATCACTCAGTTGTTAACAGGCAAGTGCTGCAATAATATGTCTGAATGTTATGTAATGTTTGCAAACAAGAATGAAGAAAACGTGGATTGATCTGTAAAGGTTACTAACATATTTTTATATTAATCTTAGGTCAATGGATCTTCAAAAGGTGAAACGCAATATAGAAAGTGGAGTAATACGTACTACGGCAGAATTTCAACGTGACATAATGCTCATGTTCCTAAATGCAACGATGTACAATACCCGAGACCACAATGTGTATCAAATGGCAGGCCTAATGATGCAGGATGCTGTTGCAACTATTGAGGTAAGATATTAAATTGTTGTTGCCCACAACTTTAAGGAATGTTTATTTCCTTTAAGTACTAAGAAATAAGTACCTTACGTACTTGCTATATTTAAGACCTTCCTAGATGTGCTGTTGTAGCATCACAGAGTAATATGTGTATACGAACACTTTATCCACAGCATCTACAACCCAAGGCGTCATGTTATTATGCAGTTTGCATTAAAATTAGAAGCACATTTGCTGCCGGATGCATACCCTAACATTTATATCAGACATGCTTGCTGTAAATGTCATCCTACAGGGGGACATGACGGGGTAGAGGACAGTGCTCGGGATACGTATCCTAAGGTTCTGGGTTAGGTTCAGGAGGTTCAGAATTTCTTTCACCCTGATGCTCCTGCTCACCTAGCATTAAATAGGTACCTGGAAGTTCGACAGCTCTTACGGGCTGCTTCCTGGAGATGTGTAAAACAAAAAAAGAGGAGGCCTGGTTGAGGACTGGGCCACGGGGGCACTAAGCCCTGAAATCATCTCAAGATAATCTCAAGAAGATACATACCTTAACCCTTTAGCTGCGCAACGCGCCTGCTGGCCCACGTCTAGGGTGCGCTACGCGCCTCCGGGTATTTGTATTTTTCACGTTCCATTCAAAACTCCCGCAGCTACATGAGGTTCACATCAGCTTCCTCAGGGCTCTTGTAAACAGACACCATCTTTAAAAAAAATAGTGGTCCACATTTCCGGGTGTGAGAGCCTCAGTAGTGAGTGAGCAACCAAGGCCGGCGCATGCAGCATGAGCTTACAGCACTGCTGTTCAGCTTGTGACCACAGCATCACCTAATAATGTCAAAATGTTATTATTAATGTCAAAATATAACTTGTATTATTTAGCCATGATAGTATTACAGAAGAGCCTGAGTGTGATAATGACTATGTACAATGTTCAAATATTAGTGAGTCAATGCTGTTCACGATGTTCACAGCGCTAGCCACAGCACCACAGCATTATTTCGTCCATCTAGGAATCTTCAAACGACTTCTTAGGTTCCTTTACAAAATAAACTTGTGGTCAATTATGTATTTACAGGATTTAGTGACCAGTATTGTGATAACAGCAGGATTGTGGTGATAATAAGCACTGTGCGTAGTATTGTGGGAGGAGGAATTGTGGTGAGGGAGCGAGGGAGAGAATTGAGGTAGCCTCACTGTGTGTGGCAGCCACTCTTGTTTTGCTCATCATACTAGCTTAGTGGTTTGCTATGGTGAACACATTTGTACATGGGTATATACAATGTGTGTATAAAGTGTAGTAACAGCAACAGGAGTATGTTGGGAGGAGCTATTTTGGTGAGGGAGGTGACGTAATCGTAGCGTCGTCTTCTGGCTGCTGTGTGTTTTCTCATGCAGTGTATGGTGGCCACTGTAAAGTTTGGACACAATACCGGCTTACTTGCATAGTTCTGGTGAATAAAACATTTAGATAGGTATACATAACATGTGTAAATAGTGTAATACAAACAATAACAGTATGGTGGGAGGAGCAATGTTGACGAGTAAGATGTTGGAGGAGTGAGGGTGTGGCAACTGACACTCGCGGAGTTCTGAGTGTGTTCATGGTGAATGTATATAGTGTGTGATAGTGTATAGTGTGTAAATAGACTGTATATATACATAAATTAGCATAATACAATGGAATTGTGCCAGATATGTGTACACATGTGTCATGCATGTAACACAGTGTCTTCGGACAGTAAGGATGTTCTACTGCCATAATATAGTGTACGTGTTCATTATACATAGGATTGGTATGTAAAAGCATATAAAAATGTATTTGGAACTGTGCGCAGAAAATGAACAAAAATATATTCGCGGCAACTCGCGCATCCTGCCCCGAGCGCCCTACCGGCCCCGGGGGTGTATGCCACGGACGACCAGGGAATGATGACGTCACGCATGAACTTATGGACCCCATAGCAGCTAAAGTACTTACAATTTTGACCTGTTACTATACCCTTACTCAGGGAAGGGTTTTTGACACTTTTAAAAACAGAAAATAATATTTTCCAGAGATTATATTTCCTGCGCACTGGGGGGTGTCATATTTGGAGGCTGCGCAGTTAACACTTTCGCGCTTTAGATTAGAGATAACTCGTCGCTGTTTTTTCTTACGATTCCGCATAACAGCCTACTTTTCTCGTGCATCGAAAAAATATTTCTATAAATTCCATTTTTTAACCGAAATGGATGGGGATACTTTTGTTTTGTAGATAATTTATTTGCGAATTTTTTGGTACCAGAATGAATATTATATCACAAACTTCTATGAGTAAAAAAAAAAATACACAAAGTATGTTTGGGGGTGTGGCGGGCGTGTGGCAGTGGGTTCCCTTTAGCCGTTGATATATCCAACACGTGGGAAATATTTGTATGTGTTATGTATATGTCTGTGTAGGGAATTTTACTGCGATCACTGTCATATAAATTATAAAATGTTTCAACAAGTATAAACATGACAAACATCAAATGAACGAAAACAATGCGTTCGTTTCTGCCGCGAACGCATACTGAGCGACGTGGTTCTATATTTGGCACTTCTCTTACACATGCTTTGTACAAATGTTATACAGTTCATCTTATAGAAAATTTTATTGCGAACACATTGGTATAAAAAAGAAATACGTACATAGAAAAGTAGGGTCAGGAAACGTATAAACTTTCCAAGCATGATTTATCCCGTGTTTTAGCCAGTGCGCTCGCGGCTAACTACTCTCCACTTCACACACTCTTGCGGCTGGGCAATTACCTATATTAAACATTCATATGCATATGTCCGTGTAGAGAATTTTATTGCGATTCCAATGATACCAAAATTAGCGATGTAGGACAACTGTAGGCTTCGCAACCATTAAGAGAGTGGAAACATTTTGTTGCTGTTTGGCGCTCTCGGCGAGTGATCTGCATAGTTTTTTATTTGGTGTTGATACTCCTTATGCTTGGGCGGCATTTTATAGGTATGCTCTTATAGACAATTTCATTGCGAACACAGTGATACCAAATTTAAATACGTGCGCCTTCAATTATTGTCAGGACAGTCAAAAGAGTGTACACTTTTTCGGTCTTACCGCATAGGCGCGCGAAGTGCCGAAAGCATCTGGGGTATTGTTTTTTTTTGAGCGCCGAGAGCGCGAAAGTGTTAAGGGGTTAAAATTATGCATAATCTATCAAATAGGGCGTGACTCTGTACAATATATACAATTTATTGGGGTACTTTACCCGCCCACATCACGATGATGGTCAAGAAGACTGTTTTGTAAAATTTGTGAGAGGCGGCTCTTTCCCCTGACTGTTATCTTCTCTTTTATAAGCTAAATAATGGTGCTTCTCTGTCTTATTTACTTTTTAATGTATAATACAGCTTCATAAACATGTACAGTATTTGTGGTTACAATCTTCATTTATATTAATTTTGATGCAAAAATAAAGTTGCCAAGATGGTGCAGTATCCAGGATAATACAGTAGCTGGGATGGTACAGTATCCAGGATAATACAGTAGCTGGGATGGTACAGTATCCAGGATAATACAGTAGCTGGGATGGTACAGTATCTGGGATAATACAGTAGCTGGGATGGTACAGTATCTGGGATAATACAGTAGCTGGGATGGTACAGTATATAGGATAATACAGAAGCAGGAATGGTACAGTGTCTGGGATAATACAGAAGCAGGGAAGGTACAGTATCTAGGATAATACAGAAGCAGGGATGATACAGTATCTGGGATAATACAGAAGCAGGAATGGTACAGTATCTGGGATAATACAGAAGCAGGAATGGTACAGTATCTGGGATAATACAGAAGCAGGAATGGTACAGTATCTGGGATAATACAGAAGCAGGAATGGTACAGTATCTGGGATAATACAGAAGCAGGAATGGTACAGTATCTGGGATAATACAGAAGCAGGAATGGTACAGTATCTGGGATAATACAGAAGCAGGAATGGTACAGTATCTGGGATAATACAGAAGCAGGAATGGTACAGTATCTGGGATAATACAGAAGCAGGAATGGTACAGTATCTGGGATAATACAGAAGCAGGGTTGGTACAGTATCTGGGATAATACAGAAGCAAGAATGGTACAGTATCTGGGATAATACAGAAGCAGGAATGGTACAGTATCTGGGATAATACAGAAGCAGGAATGGTACAGTATCTGGGATAATACAGAAGCAGGGTTGGTACAGTATCTGGAATACTACAGAAGCAGGAATGGTACAGTATCTGGGATAATACAGAAGCAGGGTTGGTACAGTATCTGGAATACTACAGAAGCAGGGTTGGTACAGTATCTGGGATAATACAGAAGCAGGGATGGTACAGTATCTGGGATAATACAGAACCAGGGATGGTACAGTATCTGGAATACTACAGAAGCAGGGATGGTACAGTATCTGGGATAATACTGTAGCTGGGATGGTACAATATATAGGATAATACAGAAGCAGGGATGGTACAGTATCTGGGATAATACAGAAGCAGGGATGGTACAGTATCTGGGATAATACAGAAGCAGGGATGGTACAGTATCTGGGATAATACAGAAGCAGGGATGGTACAGTATCTGGGATAATACAGAAGCAGGGATGATACAGTATCTGGGATAATACAGAAGCAGGGTTGGTACAGTATCTGGAATACTACAGAAGCAGGGTTGGTACAGTATCTGGGATAATACAGAAGCAGGGATGGTACAGTATCTGGAATACTACAGAAGCAGGGATGGTACAGTATCTGGGATAATACAGTAGCTGGGATGGTACAATATATAGGATAATACAGAAGCAGGGATGGTACAGTATCTGGGATAATACAGAAGCAGGGATGGTACAGTATCTGGGATAATACAGAAGCAGGGATGGTACAGTATCTGGGATAATACAGTAGCTGGGATGGTACAATATATAGGATAATACAGAAGCAGGGATGGTACAGTATCTGGGATAATACAGAAGCA